TGTCTCGGGGCCTAGGACGGACACCAGCAATCCCAGCAGCCCCTTGCCTCTGTCTTCAGCCCTCTCTCCCCTCCCCACCCCACCCTGACCTCTCGGGGGTTCCGTAATAAGCGATCTGATCTGTGAGGAATGACCTCCTGGACTCTTTCACAGGGACCCAAATTCAAGAAATGCCAAGCTGAGTCAGGAGCGGTGGCTCACGCCTGGAGTCCCAGCACTTTGGGAGGCCAAAGTGGGAGGATCACTTGAGAGGCAGGAGTTTGAGACTAGCCTGAGCAACATAGAGAGACCCTACCTCTACTTTTAAAATTATTTATTTATTTTTATTTTTTGAGACAGAGTTTTGCTCTTGTTGGCCGGCTGGAGTGCAGTGGTGTGATCTTGGCTCACTAAAACCTCAAACTCCCGGGTTTAAGTGATTCTCCTGTCTCCGCCTCCTGAGTAGCTGGGATTACATGGGGTTGCAGGTGTGTGCCACCATGCCTGGCTAATTTTGCTTTTTTTTTTTTTTTTTTTTTTTTTTTTTTTTTTTTTTTTTTGAGTAGAGACGGGGTTTTACCACTTTGGCCAGGCTGGTCTCAAACTTCCAACCTCAGGTGATCTGTCTGCCTCGGCCTCCCAAAGCGCTGGGATTTTAGGCATGAGCCACTACACCTGGCCTACTTTTTATTTATTTATTTTTTTAATCAGCCAGGCATAGTGGCTTACACCGGTGGTCCCAGATTCTCAGAGGGCTGAGGCGGGACGACTGCCTGAGCCCAGGAATTGGAGGCTGCAGTGAGCTATGATCACACCACTGCACCAAGCCTGAGCAACAGAGGGAGATCCTATTGAGTCTATGTGAGAAAAGTGCTCGAAAAATGGACATTTCAATATAGGGTCAAGGAGTGACTTTGTGCCTGACCCTCCGAGCTCCAGAAGACCTTTGTGTGTGTGACCCTCAGGGCTGGCAGGCAAGCGCTCAAAAGATGCTTTGCCCATCACGAGCCTGAAGGCAGAGACCAGAGACTCGATGGGAAAGAGGGGAGGAGCATGAGCCCTTTCCCCGAGGACTGGGGAAACCAGTCCTCAGCCCCCTCTTCTCTCTTGGTTTACAAGAGACTATCCCAATGTGAGAAGTAGAAAAGTTCCTCTTTACAGTTTCATTTCCTGTTAAAGAATAAGTGTGCTAATAACTTTGTGAAGCCCAATAACATGTAGCTGTTAGACATGCCATGCTGACAGGCACGTAGTACATTCTATGTCCTTGTATTTTAACCAAGACATCTGTGCTGGACGTGCTCACAGGTCTGTCCCAGCTCTCCATGGCTTTTACCTGTTTAGAAAAGTTTTAAGTTATTAGCCAATCGGGTTTTAGTTTAGATTGTGAGGTCTGGCTCCAGCCCACGGAGAGCAGACACAGCAGGAAGGACGATCCCAAAGGCATAAGGGATGAATTTGTCTGTTTTTCTTTGTTCATTGTACTCTTGTGGCACGATGCCTAGCGAGGGTACCCTTCCTGCAGTCCAGGAAGTAAAAAGTGCGTTGCTGGAAGATCCTTTGTCTTAGTGCTGATTTTTCTTTGCAGCACCGAGCATCTGCTTCCGACATGCATTTCCAGCACCAGTACGGGCTTCTGAGCCATCCCAGTTGCTTCTTGCTCCTTCGAGGTGAGTTTGCCGAGCACCAGGCACCTCTCTTATCTGGGAGGGGGACAGGGACGGCTCAGCCAGTCACCACATCGACACCCCCCGCCAACAAGCCTCCAACTGCAGCCCGGGTGACAGGTAAAAATTTAGAAATCATTTCATTCCGTGTGTTGATATGACAAAGTACTGTAGAGCTATTAAAATTGTTTTCAAAAAATAGATCATCAAATGCTGTGCACCATCAGAATTTAACTGAGGAAAAACAAAAATAACAAATGTTCGCAAAAGCGTTTCATTTTAACTCTCACGTTCAGGCCGGCCGACGGCGGGGTGGAGGGGGTCCGGGCTTTCTTGTTCTTGCTTTTCTCTATTTTCCCAACATTTTACAACAGGCAGGCATCTTCTACTATCAAAGAAGATCCAGAGCATTGAACTTTTTGCATTTTACTGAAGGCCAAGGCGTTCGGGAGGAGCAGGGAGCCTGGTGGTACAGGGTTGGGTGGGCAGTGCCCAGAGGTCTGCAGCCCAGCTCAGCCTGGTGCAGCCTGGAATCAGCCCAGGGAACGAAGCTTACCTGGGACTCTCCAAGGAGGACCCACAGATTTAGGCTCCTTCCAGGTGACATTTTAAGCAATGACTGCTCCTTGTGCAGGCGCCAGGCCAACGTCCCCTACGTAATTGGTTCTGCTGCTCCGGCCCCTCCGGTCTCATGTGGCCATGCCTTGAGGCAGCTCCATCTGTAAAGCATTCTTCCTCCAGGGCAGGAAACGTACCTGGGGTCTGCACAGATTCCCACCACTCAGGACACTGGAGCTGGGCCCAACCTCGGTGGAAGCCTCTCCCCACCTTGCTTCCAAAAGGGCGGGAAGGGAGGGGAGGAGAGAGGGGAGCCGGGTGTCAGGAGGAGGCAGGGGCGCTCTGCTGGGCTCTGCTCTTGAAGCCTGCTCCGCCTACCTTTCCACCTAGCTAGAGAACTTCACCTGGGCTCCCTGCTGGAGCAGAAAAACACCGGCCACTTTCTGGGAGTGTGCAGGGTGGGACCCTTACGCACACGGAGTGCTTTTGAAACCTTCAGGGGATACGCCTTCCTCCCCTTCCAGTCTCCTGGACAGCCCCCAGCACCTCCAAAACCACATCCAGCAGGATTTAGAGCAATGCATGGGGACCATTTCCTCCCAGTTTCTGCAGTGATAAGGACACCACCACCCTAGGACTAGGGCTGGGGGGACCATCACATGGGCTTTTTTTTTTTTTTTTTTTTTGAGATGGAGTCTGGCTCTGTCACCCAGGCTGGAGTGCAGTGGCGCCATCTCAGCTCACTGCAACCTCCACCTCCCAGGTTCAAGTGATTCTCCTGCCTCAGCCTCCTGAGTAGCTGGGATGACAGGCATGTGCCACCACACCCAGCTAATTTTTGTATTTTTTGTAGGGACGGGGTTTCACCATGTTGGATAGGCTGGTCTCGAACTCCTGATCTCAAGTGATCCGCCTGCTTTTGGCCTCCCAAAGTGCTGGGATTACAGGCGTGAGCTTTTGAGTGTCTTCCTGGGGTATTTCTTTCTGGCATTTCCCATTGTACATGCTACTTTTGTAGTCAGAAAGTAGTGTTTTAAAAATGGGAGAGTTGACCAGGCACGGTGTCTCACGCCTGTAATCCCAGCACTTTGGGAGGCCGAAGTGGGCAGATCGCTTGAGGCCAGGAGTTCAAGACCAGCCTGGCCAACATGGCGAACCCCCATCTCTACTAAAAATACGATTAGCTGGGCGTGGTGGCGCGCGCCTGTAATCCCAGCTACTTGGGAGGCTGAGGCAGGAGAATCGCTTGAACTCAGGAGGGGGAGGTTGCAGTGAGCCCAGATGGCGCCTCTGCACCCCAGCTTGGGAAACAGAGCAAGACTCTGCCTCAAAACAATAAAATAAAATGGGAGAGCGGACATGCACATCTAAGCAGAGGCACTGAGCACAGCACCCACCCAGTGGGCTCACTGGGTTCCCATCTGGCTTTCTCCAGGGCGCATCCAGGTGGAGCTGGGTGGAGCCCACCCGCCAGCATCCTCCCCAGGCCCCTGAGCTCCAGGGCACGGAGGGTCTCCTACAAGGCTGGGTCCAGAAAAGCCCAAAGCCTGTTTGTTGATTTTAATTTCTTTCCTGGCTTCAAATCTTGCGGCCTGGAGCAGTGGAGGAAGCAGGGACACCAGGTCTCCACAGCCACCATGAGATTCCCCACTTCCCATGCAGGAGCTCAGAGCCAGTGCGAGAATGGGGCCTGTTCTCCCGGCCTTCCTGCTCTCCCTGGGTCCCTCCATGGGGTTCAAGCGATTCTCCTGCCTCAGCATCCCGAGTAGCTGGGATTACCGGCATGCACCACCACGCCCGGCTAATTTTGTATTTTTAGTTGAGACAGGGTTTCCTCCATGTTGGTCAGGCTGGTCTTGAACTGCCAACCTCAGGTGATCCACCTGCCTCGGCCTCCCAAAGTGCTGGGATTATAGGCATAAGCCACTGTGCCTGGGCTGAACCTTGCTTCTTAAGCCCACCTGTATAGAAAAGCTCACTCAGCCAAGGCTCTGAGTTCTAATCTACTTGGAGCCAAGTTCTCTTGGAATGAGTTAGGTTGGCATAAAATGTCAACTACTGACCAGTCCAGAGTTCAATCTAACATACATTTCCAAAAGAAAAACTTATTTTCAGCAAGGCACAGTGGCTCACACCTATAATCCCAACACTTCGGGAGGCCAAGGCAGGAGAATCATCCGAGGCCAGGAGTTTGAGATCAGCCTGGGCAACATAGTGAGATCCCATCTTTACAAAAAAATCAAAAAGTTAGCCAGGTGTGGTGGTGCACGCCTGTGGTCCCAGCTACTCGGGAGGATCGTTTGAGCCTGGGAGGTAGCGGCTGCAGTGGGCTGGGATCATGCCACTGCACTCCAGCCTGGGTTACAGAGCAAGACCTTGTCTCAAAAAAAACACAAAAACTGACTTTTAAGGATACGCTAACTAGAAGCAGCTCACAGCGCCCCCTGTGGACGCCCTTCAGACCTCCCCCTTGAATGAAAGTGTCCGGATAAACGTTGGTCCCTTTTCAGTCATCTCTGCCCATCGGTGCTTCTCAAGCCTTGGGAACCCTTACCCCAAGTAGATTAAACAATCCCCCAGCAACTGTCCTGGTGCTGTCCTCACTCCTCACAGCGCTCTGGAAGGATCAGTTCTCAGGGAGTTCATTCGTTTTAAATGTTGGGAGTCTGAATTCAGGATGGAACCTGTCCTGACCTTCTCTTGCCCAAGAGACCAACTGCAGCTGACCCCAACCTGTCCCAACACCCAGTGAACCGCACTCGGGGGGGCAGGAAGAAACATTCTTACTCGGGAGCCTTCTGGGTTTCTGCATTTGAAACATTTATTTCAGGAAATACATTTTCAACATTTTGTAGTTTATACAAAAAAGAGACAAATGTCTTGGGAGGCACGTAGCAAAAGGCCGTTGAGGATCAGAGCCTGATGAAACGAACAATTTTCAAGGTCTGGTTACAGAGAAGGAAAGTGAAGCATCTCAAGGCTGGGATGCTGCTGCCCACCCCCTCCCCACCCCAACCTGCCACCAAGTGATGCTGAGGCTGGGAGGGCCACATGGCCTGGTGCCACTCATTTCCTTCAAAATCTTGGTTTTGGCAAAAACATGGCAAGTTGGCAAGTAAACTGTCCCGCCAGTGAGGGTGGTGGGGAGTCCTTCCTCTCCTGGATGCGGAGGGAGTCAGACGCCCAGTGCCCCGACTCCCACTGCCCCTCTTCTGGCAGCAAGCAGCCAGCCTGGGACCTGCAGATGCACCCAGTGATAGGCGCACCCATGTGGAGTCTCGTCAGGCCCCTCCCTCTCCCCAGGAGTGCGACTGGGAACAGGAAGCAGAAGGGGACTTGGTCAGCCATGCACCGCAAAGGGAGCCCCCACAGTCCCCTCCTGGGGACGGAGGGTGAGGGGCCAGGCCTTGCTGCCATGAACCTCGCTCTTCAGCTCACTGTGGACTGTGCACCTCTGACTCCACTTCTCCTTCCTAGGCCGTCATTACCATGGGCTCTAGTGGGAGGGGCCCAGGCCCAGGTAGGACAAGGAGTCAGGCTCGCCAGTCCTCCAACCCACCCAGGTCACAGAGTCAGCAAGGCCTGGGCCAGGAGGGGTGAGTGGTGGGGGTGGCTGGCTGGGCACTAATGTAACCACAGCCCAGTCTTGGGCCAAACCAGACACTGTACGTACGGACAGACACACACACACATGGACGCACACACACTTCCCTGGTCACTTGGGTGGGGCAGGCACTGGGCAGCTCAGGCCACTATGACCACCCAAAGCCACAGCCCACACGTGCTGCTGCCAACCTTCCTTCTGGCACCTTCCATGGCTCCCTCCCTCAGCTCCTCCACCAGACTCACTCGCTTGGACCTTTTCAAAAATGGGTGGCGAGGGGGTGGGGGTCGTCTTTCCTTCCTTTTTAATCCTCTATCAGATCCCAGTACATCAGCAGCACCTGCAGCCCTATGGGTGGGGTGGTGTGGTGGCGGGGCGGGGAGATGAAGACGCCTCCCTCATTCTAGCCTGTCCCCGCATCTGGCCGAGCAGCCTGCGGACGGCTGAGATAAAGGCACTTTCTGCTCCAGGACGGGTTTGGGGCAGGCAGCTGCCGGGGGGGGCCTCGAGCGGCTGAGCTGTCAGTGGTGTGGCACCCTGGAATTTTCTACCCTTAGGAGTAGGGCAGGGGTGGGGGCTGAGTGACGGCCCTGATTGGCTCGATTCTCCCCTGGCCCCTGACTCATTCCAGGGGCCAGGGCCTATGGGGATGTAGCCCACCGGGCCCCTCTGCATAGTCGAGGCCTGGCCCCCACCCAAGGCCCCCGGCACTGAGAAACGCACCCGGACGGATGATCAGCACACGGAAGCTACTCTTCTGAGCTCTCGGGGAGCCAGGCCTGGGGACGGAGGGTGGACCTCCCCAAGACCTCGGAGAGGCCACGGGCTCATCACTGACTCACTCGGAGGGAGGCCCCTTCCCTTGTTTCTTGGCAGCGTGTCGAAGGGCTGGGGAACGATGAGAAATGGAGAAAATCATATAAAATAAAATGGGGCGGTGGGAGGGCCGGGGGGGGGACGGAGAAGACTTGGGGGCAGGGTCCCGGGGGCGGGCAGGGTGGTGTCTACATCTCCGGGGCGTCTGGCTCCTTCTCCTCCACGCCATTGGCCACGGTGCTGCTGCCCTCGTTGAGACGCTTCACGCGGTAGGCTTCGAAGTGGATGCTGCTGGTGATGTCCTTGATGTTCTGCATGTGCGTCCTGGGGGGGTGGGCGGGTCAGTGAGGTGGGGACAGCGGGGCGGGGGCCGCTGAGCAGGAGTCCTGCTCAGCCTGTCTCGGGCTCAGGCCTGCCTGCTGTTCCCGTCTCCACATCCCGACTGCTTGGCTCCCCACGGGGTACCCCAGGCCCACTATGTTGGACCAGATCTGGGACAAGGTTGGGGAGAGGGTCAGTGCCCTGGTAAGCCCAGATGCGCTCAGAACACACACACCCCAATGCATGTGACTCCCTCTGGGTCCACCCTATGGCTGGTCCAGGACCTGCCCAGGGACAGAGAGCTGGGTGCCGGGTGCACAGACTCAGAGGGGCAGGCCTAGAGTGTCCTTGCTCCAGCCCAGTGTCCAGGGCGCTGGCAGGGAGGCAGTGGCTGACTGCCGGCCTCCAGGGCTATGGCCTAAAGTGAAGGGCTGGATCACCCTTGTCCCCAGGAAAAAAAAGTCGTGGGCTCAGAACTTCCACTCCTTTGCAGCTCAGGGGGAATAATCTAGAGGGAGGTTGGAAAACCCAGTCTCTACACAATGGCTCCCGGATCTCCCGCCCCTTCCCTTGCCAACCTGGGGGCCCTCCTCTTAACAGCAGCCCCATCATCCATGGCACCTGCTTGCTGAGGAAGAACCTAGGAACCCCTGACACCCCCGTAGGAGGCCCCCACCCTCTCCATTCACCTGCCTAGGCCAGGCTCCACACTCCGGGGACCGCCCACCTGGTACCCTCTCTAACGGGGCTTCCTCCCCTTGCCCGGACTCAAGGGAACCAAGGAGAAGCCTCAGCCAGGTCAAGGGGTAGGGGTCAGAGGCCACTGGGATCAGAGCTGGGGACGTCCCATGCTGCCGGCAGGGCCTGCACTGGGCCCTTGGTGCCCACTGGGCAGCTCTACCAGGCCAGGCCACAGTGGATCCAAGCTCAGTCCTTCCACCAGGTGGCTTCGTAGGGGTTAAAAAGGATCTTCCTTACTGGCTTCACTTCCCAGTGGGTTTTCTTTTTAGAAGATGGGCTTCCAAGGCCTTCCCAAGGACAGGGCAGGCAGGTGGCTGGGAGCGCCCACTCCGCGCAGGGCCTCAGCCCCACACCCACTGCCCCCACCTGCTGTAGGGCCCTCTCAGGGCAAAGCCGTCAGCCCCACCCGAGCACCTTGTCTCTTACCTGATGAGAAGGTCCCGCAGGTAGGCAAACTCACAGTGTGTGGTGTTTTCAACTAGGAGAAGAGACAGGAGGGGCTTTAATGTCCCAGTGGAGAAGCTCTGCCAGACCCCGCCTCTCTCCTCCTGCCCAGGAATGCTGATGCTGAGAGCAGAGACTGAGGACAGCCCCGTGGGCAGGAGGGCAAGGGAGCCACCTGCTCTGTAGCTGAGTATGGGACACCTGGCACTGCTCTCAGTCCGTGGGATACTGGGGTGACCGGTATCAGCTCCTGCTCTCCAGAAAGCTCCAGACTAATGGGAGATGGCATAGTGACCAGGCCAAACATGTGCATGGGAGAAAGCCACAGCGCAGAAGCCAGGCCACCACTGGGTGGCCAGGGAGAGCAGGACGTCCCAGCAGAGACCTGGAGACGGGCAGGGGACTGAGCTGCTGGAAACGGGATGAGGCAGGAATCAGAGCTGGGGTTTTTAAAGAAAACCCACGGCCCATAGGGTGTTACCCCACCCGGCCCTGTCCACTTTGTTTAACACTGCTGATTCTTGAGCTTGTGAATGGTCATCCACAGTAGGTGGCCTCTGTGTGTGAACATGTGTGTCCTGTGTGTGTGTTCTCTGAGCACAGGCAGGGACACACACACTTCATACAACATGCACAAGAAACAGAGAGAGAGAGAGAGAGAATGAGAATGAGGCACAGAGAACACAGGAACTGTGTTTTGTCTGAGTTCCACAGCCGTAAGTCTGGAGGGGGATTCAGAACCCACACACGGGGCTCCAGGCTGCCCCATCAGGGAGCCATGTGGATTTTCCTCAAGTTAAAAATATCTAGTTTTAGGCTGGGCACAGTGGCTCGCACCTATAATCCCAGCACTTTGGGAGGCCAAGGTGGGTTAATCATAAGGTCAGGCATTCAAGACCAGCCTGGCCAAGATGGTGAAATCCTGTCTCTACCGAAAGTACAAAAAAGTTAGCTGGGCATGGTGGCAGGCACCTGTAATCCCAGCTACTCAGGAGGCTGAGGCAGAAGAATGGCTTGAATAGGGGGAGGGGGTGGAGGTTGCAGTGAGCTGAGATGGTGCCACTGCACTCCAGCCTGGGCAGCAGAGTGAGACTGTCTCAAATTAAAAATACACACACACACACACACACACACACACACACACACACACATACAGCATATATACGTGTATACATCTGTATATGTACATATGCATGTATATGTAGATATATATGTGTATATATACACCATGGTTTTTACTTGGCAGGCGGGACCGGGGACCTCCACATTGCTCCCCCCCCCCACCCTCAAGTGCTCTGGGTTCTACACCAGTTGCCTTTGCCGGGGCACTGCCCTCCCACCATGGCCTGTGCAGGGCAGTGTCCACATGAGGACCTCCTGCAGATGGACAAGCAGTACTCTCATCTAACTCCGAGGGCAGCGAGAACCGGCAGGAAGAATGGAGCTCTCAGGTTGGAGGTGGAGTGTGTGATCGCTGCTCCCTGGCTTGGGCGAGTTACTCTCATTCCCTCAGTTTCCTCATCCATAAAATGGGGACAATAACATCACCTACTTCTCAGGGACTTAAGATTAAATGAGTTCATGGCGTGATTAATTACACCCCACGCTTCTATTGACAATACTTGGGGTGATTTCTAAGGATGGGAAAGATGCCCTTCACCAAGTGGGAGACAAGAATGAGCCAGGGCCCTTACTAGCCCGGTGTCAGGTCAGCTGTGAACTCAGGCGGCCCCGGTATGAAAACGTGTTGAAGGCACGTTTCCAGGGTCCTCATATAAGGCTGCTGAGATGTGGGCCCCACCACCTCACAACTGTCCTGACAGGTTCCAGACTGTTCCTCAACTGGAGCCAGTGGCGCTCCACAAGGCACAGGTCAGAGAGCCGCAGGGACCAAACAGTTTCAGGCACCGGCCGCCTGCAATACTCAACGTTGGCCACGAGGGTGCAGCAGACGCATGCCCATAGCAAAGCCATCGGCGCCTCCCAGGCCCATCTACTCCAGGCTCTCCTAACCCTGCCTTTCATAAAAACGTTCCTAAACAGCAAGAATTCTTTGGGCAGACGGGAAGAGAGGAAACGGAAGAGAGGAAACGCAGGCAGAGGGGCCAAGGAGACGCAAGCCAGCCTGACACCACAGGTGGATACTGGTAAACACCCAAGCTGCACCCAGCTGGGCAGCTCCCACGGGGTGGGCCTGGCAGGGGTGGCGGCAGGGGAGGAGGGCAGACGGGGAATGGCCCCTGTGCCTCTCCACACCCGCCTCCAGGCAGGAACTCCCATCTCGAGGGAGTCTGGTGCAGGGCTGCAACTGTGCATTTAGAGCTGCCTCCCGTTCTAGGTCCCTTGGAAAGTTTTCTGCTCACTGCTCCTCTTGCACCTCCCCTCTGCAAGGAGGGTTGGTGCGGGGAGCTCCAGGCAGAAATGAGATGACCCATGTCAAGTGAGTGGCGCAGGAGCATTCGACGCCTCCTGGTAGCTGTCATTATGACCATCGTCTTAGAGCAACAGCTTCCCGAAAAGCTCTAATGGCCTTTGGGACGGTCTCTCAACTCACTACAATCTTGGCACACTGCACCCACTTTGTGGATAATGAAAACTGAGTTCCTGGAACACTAAGAGACTTCTGCTTCCTGCTCTACTGGGCCTTTCAGCCACATGCTTTCCCAGAACAAAGTGGCCTTTCCGGCTCTGTTTCCCTCTGCACCTTCCCCTCTTCCATTCTAATGAGAAAGGAAGAGACAGAGAGAGGAAGAGGAAGGGAACGTTCAGGCCCATCCCTCCTGGGGTGCCACTGCCAGGAATGGGTTGCACTGTGGCCTCCCGGGGGCTCCCATCCATTCAAAGAGACGGTCAAGGTCCAGGCTTTGGTACCCATGACTGTGACCTTACTTGGAAACAGTCTTTCTTTAAAGATTCAGGAAGGGGCTCCAGATGAGATCATCCACTTAGGGGAGGTCCTGAGCCCAAAGACAGGCGTCCTTGGAACCCGGAGGAAAGAGGCCGGGCGCGGTGGCTCACGCCTGTAATCCCAGCACTTTGGGAGGCCGAGGCGGGAGCATGACCTGAGGTCAGGAGTTTGAGACCAGGCTGACCAAGGTGGCAAAACCCCGTCTCTACTAAAAAGACAAACACTAGTCAGGTGTGGTGGTGCATGCCTGTAACCCCAGCTACTCGGGAGGCTGAGGGAGGAGAATCACTTGAAGCGGGAGGTGGAGTTTGCAGTGAGCCGAGATCACGCCACGGCAGGCCAGGTCTGGGTGACACAGCAAGACCCCATCTCAAAAAACACAAAAGGACGGAGGGAGGGAGGGGACAGAGACACAGAGAAAAAGGCCCTGTGACAGCGGGACAGAGATGAGAGCGTGTGACGCCTACATAAGGCAATGAGGACTGCGTGGTGCCCCCAGAAGGAGGAAGCCACGGAGGAGGTTGGTCCTCAGGCCTTCTGGCCCCTAGAACCATGAGAATACATTTGTGTTGTCTTAATCCCTCTAGTTTGTATGAGAATTAGTTACAACAGCCACATTCTGGGAACTTCAGCAGGGCGAAGGTCCGAGGGTCCATCTGGCTCACAGAGCCATAGCCCACACCTTTTCCAGGCCCAGAAAGGTTGGTGATTTGTCTGGGGCCACACGGGTGCCTGTGAAAGAGCCTGCACCAGGACCTAGAACGTGGGGGCCCCCATCCTAGCTCCCATCTCCCGGAATCTTTCCCTGCCGCAGGGGAGATCCGGAGTGGAGGCATCTGCACAACCCACTCGCTGGCTCCCGGTCCTGTGGTTGGGTGGGGACAAGGAGACCCCCCTCTGGGTGGGGCAATGTAGTGGCTCAGGCGCGGCCCATGGGCTCGGGGCCAGGAGAAGAGACGGTCTTCCCATCCGTCTGGGGCCCCGGCGCCCAGTACCTTCGATGGTGCCCCACTTGGTCTTCCTCCCAAGGATCCTCTTGCCGTTGACCTGGTACTCGTGGTCACTGCCCACCACAGCGAACGGAATCATCTCCTAGGGAACAGGTGGACGCTGCTGGTGACATACGTGCGGGAAGGCCATTACCTCCCCTGGGCCCCTGGGAGGAGCTGCCCTGAGACTAGGGTCCCCCAGACATGAGAGCCTCAGCCTGAGAGCAGCGGGTGTGGACACCTGAGCTCATGTCCTCTGGCTCGAGGATTTATCTCATGGCTGAAGGTCCCCCGAACCCCCACCCACCACCCCTTTCCGCAGAACTGGGAGTCTCCCGGGAACGACCTCCTGGTGGATCCACTCACTCGGAACTTCTCGTTCACCAGCCGGTCCTCCGAGTCCTCATCAAACTCCTTCTGGGGGTACACGTCGATGCCGTTGGACAGCAGGTCTGCAGTGATCTGAGAGGAGGGAGAGAGATGGGCACATCCCTGTGGCAAGCTCCGCCCACCCACCGGCATTTGCCACCGCATGACCTCCACACCGTGAGCTGCCCTGGGCTCGGGGTCAAGGGCAGACTCTGGGGGGCTGTGACCCCAGTCACCTCCAATTCTTGTGCCTCCTTGGGGGTTGGAGGGGCAACTGCAGGTGCGCCTGCTGCCCTGGGGCTTTGGGTCATCGTCCTGAGTACCTCCTGCCCCTCTTCCCGTGCTCATCACACCAAGAGAGTGCTCAGGGTTGCTGAGACCTCCCCTCCTGAAACCCTTCCTAAAAAACCCTCATCCCAGCCCCCAATTCCAGCAGGGGCCCCTCCTACAGCCCAGCCAGCCCCTGCCTGCAGTAGCCTCTCAGCTGCCGGCCAGCAGCCCGACACGGGTATGTGCAGTGGAAACATCCTGGTGAACAGCCGCCTGCCTGCCCAGGCACAGACCAAAGCCCACATGCAGCTTCCGGCAGCCACAGCCACTTCGTGTGCCCTGTCCTCTCCGGTGCATGCTGACAAAGTCCCTGGTGTCTGGCCCCAGGCTGGAGATTGGAGGCCCCACCCACACCCACTGAGCAGATGCCCGGCCAGAGCCCAGGCACCTTGCTTTCATTTTTAAAGGTTCCCCAGGTGGCTCCAATGTGCTGCACGCGCTGTCAGGAGGAAGAGGTCCAGGGCACGCCCTCTTGCTTGGATGCCCCTCCCCACCCCACAGCAGGAGCCTTGGACCCTGACGGAAAAGAAAGCAGCAGAGACCATCCGTCTTGCAACTTCCTTCTTTGTCTTATACAGAGTCTTACTCTGTCGCCCAGACTGGAGTGTAGTGGTGTGATCTCAGCTCACTGCAACCTCTGCCTCCTGGGTTCAAGTGATTCTCCTACCTCAGCCTTCCAAGTAGCTAGGATTACAGGGGTGTGCCACCATGCCCAGCCAATATTTTTGTATTTTTAGTAGAGACGGGGTTTCACCATGTTGGCCAGGTTGGTCTTGAACTCCTGACTTCAAATGATCTGCCTGCCTTGGCCTCCCAAAGTGCTGGGATTATAGGCGTGAGCCACCACACCCAGCTCAACTTCTCTTCCATCTCATAAAAACCAGGCAAGTCTGGGCAAGGTGGTTCATGCCTATAATCCCAGCCATTTTGGGAAGCTGAGGCAGGAGGATCTCTTGAGCCCAAAGGTTAGAGCCCGGACTGGGCAACAGGGCAAAATCTCGTCTCTACTACAAATACAAAAATTAGCCAGGCGTGGTGGCGTGCACCTGTAATCCCAGCTACCCAGGGGACTGAGCCTGGGAGGTGGAGGCTGCCTGAGCCATGATTGTGCCACTGCACCGCAACCTGGACAACCGAGCAAGACCCTTTCTCAAAAACAACAGCAACAACAAACGAACAAAAGCCAAAAAGGCAAAAAACAAGGCGGGCCACATCTCACAGCCTCACTTCCCGGAAGAGAGATACACCGTCTGCCTGACCCAGGCCTTCTCCAAAACCCGCCTCAGAGACTGCTGGAGAACGGGCCCTCCCATGAATCTGCTTTTGAGACATGGGGGAGTTAGAGAGGCCACCCAGGCCAGGGACCACCAGCCCAACCACCCGCTGGGAAGAGTGACCAGTGGTGCGGTCCCTGCCGACCACGTGAGTCCCCTAGACTGGGCGGCCGCTGCCAGGCCCGCAGCTTGTCCAGGCTGCCCCGAAAGGCTGGGGTAGGTGGAGACGGAGCCCTACCCGCTGTTTGAAGTGGACCCGCTCCTCCAGGGTGAGTGTGTCGGCCTTGGCGATGACCGGGACGATGTTGACCACCTTGCTCAGGCGTTTCATAAACTCGATGTCCAGGGGCCTGAGGCTGAAGCAGAAGGATGTGCGTGTGACCCAGCGTGCGGAAGAGAGGGGGCGCCCACCTCCCAGCGGCATCGAGGCACTCAGGTGCTGGCTCGGGGCTCATGGGGGTCCCTGCTGGCAAGAATGAGGCCCTGGGCCAAGCTGGGCACACTGTGTGGGCAGACGAAGGACAAGGGCGTGTCCCAGACACAGGTGACACCACTGCCCAGGGCAGGTGGGCCAGGACCAGCTCCAAGCACCCTCGTCCGTGAGTTCCGGGGTCCCAACCACACCCCCATGTGTCCACACAGAGGGGCTGCCATTGGCTCAGTGGCCGTCCTGCTGTGAGGCTTTGGCTGGGAGGGGAGAGGCTGAGAGAAACAGACACTAGCACCAGCGGGCGGCACCCCTGCACCAGCGGGCGGCACCCCTGCACCAGGCAGGCAACTCCCTTTGCCTGCTTGGCCCCAGGGAACCTGGGGTCTGATGCGGAGAAAGGTGTAGGTGGCACGGGCTGGCAGGGCCCTTCAACTGGGCACCATCTTCTCCAGTTCTGGAGCAGAGCTTTTCCCACAGTGAGAAAGCGTCAGTCTCAGACATGGCTGGGGAGAATCCAGCTCCAGACAGAAGATAAAGCAGAGATGGCCCAGGGCCGGCCCTGCCCCATGGGACTGCGCGCCTCAGGCGGGACCAGGCAAGTGCCCAGCTGGGGTCCCAGCCAAAGGGTCAGAGCTGGGGAGTGGGAGGAGTGCCTGAGACTGCCCGCCTGCCCACCCTCGGCTTGCCCAGCTGGCATCAGGAGGGGCTTCTGCCTCCTGCCATCGGCTTCAGCTGAGGTGAAGCTTGGAGCAGCTGGAAAAGCTGCCACAGGACCCCAAATGAGCCGTGCTGCCCCGGAGGGCAGATACTCAGTTCGGGAGAGGCCTGTGGGCAGCGAGCTGGCCCCTGCCCCTGAATGGACTCCTGCTGGCCCACAGGGGATGATGCCAGAGGGTGGGCTCAAAAACTCGGGCTTGGGTTTTGCCACAGACACTCGGGCTGAGGCTTGCTGCCCACCAGCCGGGCTCCTTCCTGCATCTGGTGCCACAGAGTATGGGTTTCCCCAAAGCCCTGGCATCCTCTGCCCAGGGATGCACGTCTGGGCCAGCCAGACCCAGGCTGCAGCGCCAGCAGGTGTGAAGGACCCTCTCCACCCACCCATGCCGGCAAGCCACCCACGGCTGCCTCCACCAGCTGCTCCTGCTGGCCCCGGGTCCACCTGCCCCCAGCCCTGACTCAGGGTGGGCCGCAGGTGTTTGGCAGTGGGTGCACAGAGAGCCAAGGACAGGGTCTGTGAGGCCATGAAGAGTCCGCCCGCCAGGGCACACGAAGCCTCCTGGCCTCACAGACCTCTGGGGTGACGTCAGGTGCAGACAGAGCCGGCGGGAGGAAAGGGCTCTCACCAAGGCCACCTGCACCAACAGCAGCCCCTGTCCAGCCCTGGAAGGGGCCAACACTGATCTCTGTGCTTCCCGTCTAAGAACATGCCAAACCCTCTGAGAGGTCCCGTGAGGCAGGGCCGGGACGAGGTCGGGTCAGTGCCAAGGGTGTTGGCTGGGGGCTCCCACTCTACCTGCCAGAGCCTGGCCTGAGAAGGCAGGACACAGACCACCAGGGTCCAGAACAGCCCAGCCGGACCCTCAGCTCCCCACACGCAGCTGCGGGAGGGGGGCTGGGCAGGACACGGCGCAGGGGTGGGAGTGAGGCTTTGGAGGTGCAGACCCGGCACACCCCAGCTTGCCCTCTGGGCCCAGCAGCAGGGCAGACAGCACCGTCTGCCAGTCCCAGGGGACACAGGGAACCCAGGGCGCTCAGCACGAGGATGCCGACAGCGCAGGGACGTACGAGTGGCCGGTGGCAGGGATGAAGTAGAGGCAGCAGTGGACACGGGTGTCCGGGATGCGCTTCTTGCGGTTGATGTTGACCTCCTCCTGCAGGTACTTCTCATACTGGTCGTTGATGAACTTCATGATGGGCTGCCAGCTGCATGGGGACGGGCGACAAGTCAGCGAGCACGCGGGACGCCCTCCCCAGGCAGGTCACGCATTCCCAGCTCGCACAGCCCAACGCCCCACTTTCCAGTGTATGCCCTGGGAGGTCCGGCTTGTTGAGCAGAGACACCACAGCCTCATCCTCGGGCTCCCAAACCAGCCTCCCCGGGCTGGTCTCAGGAGGTGAGCTGGAGACAGCAAGATTCCCCAGGTAATTCTGCTTTGGTCCAGAATTTTCGAGCCCCTGAGATGTGCGACTTTAGCAGCGTATCAGGCCCCAGGAGGTGGGCCCCGCACGCCCCCCAGGGCTGACTGGGTGGGGTCCAGGGAGCCCTGAAGCTCCTGCTAGTGCTCTTTCCCCGGAGGGGCCTCACCAGTTCTCGTTGTTGATGTGGTCCCCAAACCCTGGTGTGTCGATCACCGTCAGCTTCATCCGGACACCCTTCTCCTCAATATCTGCACAGAGCCACGCACGCAGAGTCAGAGGGGAGACGGAGAACCCTCACAGACACCCCACGCCTGACTGACCCCGGGTGGGTGGCAAGGACAACCAAGGAGGCACCGGGAAATTAATGGCCTTCCTCAGCCAACTCGGGCACAGGCCAGTGACAGTTCCCTGGCTGCCAGTTGCCTGTGACTTTTGGTGGAAAACTCATTTGCCTGCGGGGTGCTCAGTGTGATGGGACCCACAGGGGTGGGGGACATTGACCCCTCACAGCCAGAGCCCCAGAACCAACATGCTGGGGATGGCGGGCACAGCGAGTCCCTGCCTTGGGGACCTGGGACTGCCTGACTTGGGCACCCTCGCCCAACACCCATGCTTCAGGAAGGCAGGGGGATCCTGCACCCCCAGCCTGCCCCCCGCCACTGACTGTGGGTGACCGACTTGACCCCCTATGCTGTGTTCCAGGAAGGCAGGGACATCCCACACCACCCTGCACCCCAGCCTGCCCCTGGTGACTGACCGTGTGTGACGGACTTGACCCCCTACCCCTGTGCTCCAGGAAGGCAGAGGGGTCCCGCACCCCAGCCCGCCCCCAGCCACTGACCGTGTGTGATGGATTTGATCTCGATGGTCTTGGGGATGCGCTCCTCCGAGGTGGGCTGCACCGACTTCCGGCTGATTTTGGATTTGAAGAGGGTGTTGATTAAGGTGGATTTACCCAAGCCACTCTGCCCTGGGGAGAGAATGGGAGGCTGGTAAAGGGCCTCTCTGGAGAGGTCCAGCAGGGTCTGCACGTGGAACCCCTCCCACTCAGGTACGAGGCTCCCCAGCCTGAGATTCAGCCATGCTCCTCTGCCAGGCAGCGCCCAGGGACATCACCCTCGAGCCGGGTGTCCAGTGACTGTTAAATCCACACAGCCGGGCTCTGGTGCCAGCATAACCCTGGCAGGTGAGCCGGCCTGGCAGAATTGGCATCTCTTGTGCCCCTTGTGCCTTGGGGGCAGGAGGTCCCCTGGAGGCTCAGATTTCAGGCGGGACAGATGCTGGCTTGTGGAGGAACCCAGGGCTACCCGGGTGCACCAGGTGGCTGGGATTTCTGCAGTTCACCAGGGTGGTGAACCATAGCCCAGGGCAGCCTCAGGTGTTCAAACTTATCCTCCCTGATCTGCCGGGGGCCTGGGCGAGTCAGCTGACCTCACCACGCCTCAGCTTCCTGATCTGCAAAATGGGGTAAACAATCCTTTCCCCCAGGGAGCTGGTGTGAGCATCAGGCAGGCTCGTGCATGTCATGTGGGGTCTGTGGGGACCATGTGTGAGGGAGTGCTGGCCTGCAGGGCAGTGCTGCTCAAGGGACGGCACCCATGTGTGCGGACAGCCAGTCCACAAGTGACCAAGACAAACGAGGTGGCATTCATATGCAACACAACACACACAACTCACCGCAAACATACCTCTCACACAACTCTCACAACACACACAACTCACTGCAAACATACCTCTCACACAACTCTCACAGCACACACAAACAACTCGCACATAACACGCACACCCCTCCAGACTCAGAGCCCCATTGCTTTACCCTGCACAGAGCTGCCTTTGGCGATGCTAGCAAGCACACAACAAAAACACCCCAGGCCAGGTGCGGTGGCTCATGCCTGTAGTCCCAGCACTCCGGGAGGCCAAGGCAGGAGGACTGCTTGAGCCCAGGAGTTCCAGACTAGCCTGGACAACATAGCGAGACCCCATCTCTACATAAAAATGTAAAAATTAGCTGGGTGTAGTGGTGAGCAGCTATAGTTCCGGCTACACAGGAGGCTGAAGTGGGAGAACTGCTTGAGCCCAGGAGTGCAGGGCTGCAGTGAGCTAGGATCATTGCCACTCCAGAGTGACACAGTGAGACCCATTCTCTTAAAAAAAAACTGGCTGGGCACCACTCACACCTATGATCCCAGCACTTTGGGAGGTCAAGGAGAGTGGATCACTTGAGGTCAGGAGTTTGAGACCAGCATGGCCAACATGGTGAAACCCCATCTCTACCAAAAAATACAAAAATTAGCCAGGCATGGTGGCACATACCGTACCTGAGGCATGAGAATCACTTGAACCTGGGAGGTGGAGGTTGCAGTGAGCCAAGATCATGCCACTGCACTCCAGCCTGGGCAACAGTGAGACCCTGTCTCAAAAAAACAAAACACAACAGAAAACAAAAAACACCCTAAATGACACTGATGTTCTGACTTTGAACACCTTTCAGGGAAACGTGTGGGCTCCCAGGAGGACAGAGGCTGGTGCCGGGAATCCCCGGCTGAACTGTTTAGTAGCCTGAGGACAGACATTCCTCACTCATCTCTCTCTTTCCACCAGGTCTGTGTCCCGGCCAAGCTCAGGCCAGGAGTTACGTCAATGTTCCAGCCACAACACCTTAGATCTAGGAGATGCCACTGGGATACTTTAAGGTGTATCCCTTTATCAGTGTTACTTTTATTATTATTGTCACCATCACCAGCACCACCATTATCCCCATACCCTCATCACCACCATCACCATCGCCACTACCATTATCACCCCCCTTAACACCGCCATCACCCCTATCACCACCACCACCCCATCACCAATACCATCCCACCACTATCACTGTCACAATCACCATTACCCCCATCACCCTCATCATCACCGTCACCACCATCACCATCACTACTACCATTATCACCCCCTTAACACCGCCATCACCCCATCACCACTATCATCATCACCACCACCACCATCACCCCCATCACCCTCATCATCACTGTCACCACCATCACCATCACTACCATTATCACCCCCTTAACACTGCCATCACCCCATCACCACTATCATCCCACCACCACGACCATCACCACCGTCATCCCGATCACCCTCATCATCACTATCATCCCACGATCACCATCACTACTACCAGTATCATCACCCCCATCACCACTACCATCCCACCACTATGACCATCACCATCATCACCCACATCACCACTACCATCCCACCACTATGACCATCACCATCATCACCCCCATCACCACCATCCCACCACTATCACCATCACCCCATCACCCTGACCATCATCCTCACCCTCATTACCATCCCCATCATCCTCATCACCACCACCATCACCACTGCTACAACTTCTTGGACAACCACAACCTGTCAGGGACCCTGCCAGGGGCCTGCTCACTCAATTTCACTTTACGGGATTATCCCATTTTATGGATGAGGAAGCCAAGGCTCACAGAGGAGAAGCCCAGGGGAAGACACACAAGCCCCACCCCGCGCTGAGTTAGGATAAAGCTGGGATTCTCCCCGGGGTCTGTGGACCTCCCAACAGGCACCTCTCCACCTTGGCTGCATCTCCACAGGCGGGCATTGCTGCCGTGAGGAGGCGGGAGGAGGGAGAAGAGCAGAGCGAGCTGCCCGTGTCTTGTTCTTCACTCAGCATCCCTGGGAGGCAGTGACCTTGGGGGAACCAGGACCACTGCTCTTCTCAGGGTTCAAAGGGCAAAGAGGCCCAGACAGGTGAGGCAGCCTCCTGGGCACCTTCCCGGAGGACAGGGCTGTCACAGTGGTGGCCGCAGGAGGCAGCGAGGGCTGCAGGGCTGCTCTCCCTCTCCCTGGGGCCAGAGCTCCGGACGAAGGCCTGTGCCATGGCCAGGACCCAGAAATCCTCAGGTCCTTCCCACCCTGTCCCTGGCCAGGGAGCAGGGCAGCCCCTTCCCACCGCCTTTGGGCCTCTCCCATCTCTTTTACTCCAGCCATCTTCCCAGGAGGCAGCCTTGAATCCGCAGGCTACAAGCATGTGCCCACGACAGGCAAAACAGGGTGGGAGCTGCAGGAGGGGACCCCACACCTCCACCCTCCCTCGAAGCAGGATGCCAGCTTCCATGAGGTCACAGGAAGCAGAGAGGATACCAAGACCCCAGAGGAGCCAGGGCCCAGATCAGTACAGAAGAAGAAACGAAGGTGCCAGGCTGGCAAGTGTGGGTTTGCACCCACAGAGCTGGGAAGAAAGGTCGTGCATGGCTGGCAGAGGTGGGAGAAATGGGCCTGGCCGGAAAGCTGCCCAGACACCTTGCAGAAGCCTCGCCAGGCCCGCCTTGGTTTAGAATTTGAGTTGGGGGGGGGCGCTTCCGCAGATCCCTCCCCGGACCCTGCAGAGTGGGCAGAGCACAGTTCTGGGAGTCAGAACAGTGGCTGCAGTTCTCGCCCCGTGAGCTAAGGGCTTCGTTTCTGCCTCGTTCCTCCTCCACAGGGTTACCGTGAGGTTTGACCGGGACGTGGAAGGCTCAAACAAGGGGCAGCCGCTGTAGATTCCAGCCCAGCCCCGGACCCTGCCTGTGTCGCACTGATCGATTGACGACCTCCCCTGGTGACAGCCAGCTCTCTGGGGCCACCAGGGGATGGTGAAGCCATGAGCCCTAATTCTAGGGCAGACGCTGGAGCTGAGCTGCCGGGAAGCCTCCGGCCAGGCTGCGGTGGGTGCCCGGAGGGTCAGGCTGGAGCAACAGTGAGGGGACAGCCACTGCAGAAGCCCTCTGCACAAGTCGAGTCATTGTTCAGAGGGAGCAAGCACTCACCAGGACCTGCTCTGGGCCAGCCTGGGCTCCCCAGAGTCATCTCAGGGGCCTTGGGTGTGCGGACAAGGTCCCTCTGAGGAGCCGCGGCAGGCTGCCGGTCCTCCCAGGTGCATGCAGACACATGCAACCACCGGCGATTCATCCTTGAGGCCAGGGTTGTGGCCCCATTTTGCAGAAGGGAAGACCAAGCCCCAGGGCTTGTGGACCCACCCTTGGGGCTGAGCGGCAGGCGGGGGCGAGAACTCACCGACGACCATGATGTTGAACTCGAAGCCCTGCTTCATGGCCTTCCGGCGCATCTGTTCCAGGATGGAGTCAATCCCCACGTAGCCAAAGTCCACTGGGGCCTTCTCGTTCCGTGGTGCAGGCGCCTGCTTGAGCCCGGCATCTCTGTGGGTGTCGGCCATGTCGCCAACGCAGCTGGGAGCTGCCTCAGTGGCTGGGGAAGGAACAGCAGAGGCGTCAGAGTGAGACAGGGACTCACACACAGGCGCCTGCCGGGTGGATGTCACAACCATCCTTGGATAGGGAAACTGAGGCACTGAGGCTCAGAAAGGCTAAGCAACTTGCCCAGGAGACCCCTGAGAATTCCCCAGAGTGGATGCCCCTGGCGCGGTATTCTCTAAAAAGTCACCAGCCTGCAGCGACTCTGCCTCCCCAGCAAAGCTCCATCCTCAGACTCCCAAGGCCATGCTTCTTCATCTCCTCTTTTAGGAGCTGTGCCAACCCAGGGGGCCCCTCAGCTCCAAGGCAGGGCTAACCCTGAACCCCTGTCTCTGTACCCTGGAGGGCTGCTCAGACAAGGTGGAGGGTACTCTCCTCCCCCGGCCTCCACGCTGCCTCGGGCCACCCAGGTGGACCCGGCCCTCTCCTTCACCTCCACTCAGATAAGCTGCACCATCTGCGGCCACTCGGCCTTAGACGCCGACCAGGGACCCAAGACACAGGAGGGACGGTCTTGTGAGACCACGTCCCATGGAACGTGTGTTCAATCCCGTACAATGAGCCGGTATTCCTGGGGGAAGGGGAATTACTGGGTACAAGGTGGGTGCCTGGCTGCAGAGATGCCCCTGGGTACATGGATGGGAGGGGGCGTCCGTGCCAGCTCTGCCTCCCCCTGGACTGACCCAGGCGGCCGTCTTGCCTGCCTGGCCAGCACCCGAGGGCTGTACACCCACAGGCCAGGACCAAGCTTTGCTCTCAGGTCTGTGGGGTACATGGGGCTGAACTTCCCGAAATCACTCAAGCCTCTTCTGTCTGTGGGTCCTTTCCACGGCCCTGCCCCTGGCTGCTGTTAAGATTTCACACATGGGTCAGAGGCCTGGGGCTACGGATGGACGCCCGGAAGATGCCTGCTGGAGACCCGGGTGCTCCCACGCAGAGGGGTTCTAGGGCGCCCAGGATGGCGCTGGTTCCCACCAGGGCTGGCTGGAGCACACACGGCCCAGGTCACCCCACACTCCTCACGCTCACTGGTGCACGCGTGCGGCAGTGCAGACAACTCTGAGAGTCCCCACAGGCTGGAGCTGCCCTTGGTGGCCCTTGGCTCCCATGCAGGCCAGGTGGCTGCCGCTCTGGGCCCCCCTCCCCGCTTGAGCCCATCCAGGCCCTGCTCTGCCTTTGGGGAGACTTTGCCCCATGCTGTCTCCCAGGGAGGATCCAGCCCCAGGCACCCTGCACTAAGACAGGGACCACACAGCATGCTCCCAGGCAGGGCCCCTCCCGCCAGCCCTCGGGGAGGGGAGTGGCGCCAGCGTGGCAGCCAGGGCCACAGCACAGGAGGCTGCAGGGGACACATCCCCGGTGACAGGCAGGTGAGCAGCCCTCCCAAACAGGCCTGGCCCACACCCACTGCTCACGGCGCCCAGGAAGTGGGAGGCAGGCTTCCAGGCCAGGACGGGCTGGGGCACGCTTTGGTTCAACTGCCCTTCCACTTGCAGGAGGGGCCCACCGAGCCCACCCGGCTGCACCCTGCGACCCCAGATGGCTCAAGCCATCCCTCCCACCCGATTTCACTGAAGCTGTCAGAGGGGGTCAGAGGGAGAAGCAGGGAAGCACCCACGGTCTCCTCTGCTCCCCAGGCCTGAGGCATCAGGGGTGAGAGACGACGACTCTGGAAGGCAGAAACTGGGGGGCCGGTTGAGCCTCACAGGCGCCCCCTCCCTGTCTCCTCAGCCTCCACAGGGCACAGGAATTCCTATCTTACGGGACTGGGGGAGCAAAGGAACCGTAAGACTCCTGGCCAGGAACGGCCAAGGGAGTCCACACATCTCCACTGCTGAGAGCAATATCCACGGGCGGACCTGGGGCCAGGGCTCCCCTCTCTGCGCCCCTGTCTCCCCCACCCCAGGCCATGCAGCCTGCTAACCTTCGGGGCTTTGCTCCTGCCTCCGCTTCCCTTTCAGAAACACTCTCCCCTGGGCTTCCAGAATCTTTAAATAAACAAAGACACAGCGCTGCATCTGGCCCTGGACCATGTGGCTTTGGGGCCGCTTCCTGGAGCCAGACATGGGGCCTTGCCTTGTGGGGTAGCAGTTCAGCCCCGACCCACGTGACCGAAAATTGCTTCCATCTGTCTGTGGGTCTGAGAGCCATTTTGCCCGGGACTGGGACCAGCCCCACCGGCCCCACCTGCCCCCAGTATCCCTCAACCCTCCCCAGCAGGACCTGGCGGGAAGTGCTGCCCCCTGAACTGTCCTTCCTCACCCCCAATGCCCCTGGCGCCCAGAGCGAGGGAGGGGCCGGCCTGGGCAGCAGCTGGGCCCCTCCACAGGCACCAGCACTCACTGCAGAAACTCAAACCAAACATCCTGCCCGCCAGGGGCCCTGCTTGAGCAGTAATAATAAAAACACAGCCAAGCCCCATCTTTGCCATTGATGTAGGACTGTGGCTGGCCTTCTGCACAGGTGAAACCCGTTCCTGCAACCCCTCCCTCAAGAGGCGGCCTTGTAGGGACTGGCTGGCTGGCAGGCAGGCAGGCATGGAGAGAGAAGTGCCAGGGCCCGTCCTGCTCTCCTACCTGGCCAGGCGAGCTCTGGGGTCTGCTTCAGGACCAAGTGGGACCCCACACCCAGAGACGCGTTCACGAACTGAAACTCTGATATCCACAGAAAGCCACCGGGGCCTGGTCCCAGGATCCCACGGTGCTCAGGTGGCTGGAAAGAATGGTGAAGACCACCCACTCCTCCAGGATGGAGTCTAAACCATTGTCTGTGGCCAGGTGCGGTGGCTCACGCCTGTAATCCCAGCAGTTTGGGAGGTGAGGCAGGTGGATCAAGTGGTCAGGAGTTTGGGACCACCCTGGCCAACATGGTAAAACCCCGTCTCTACTAACAAATAAAAATCAGCTGGGCATGGTGTGCTCGCCTGTAATCCCAGCTACTCAGGAGGCTGCGGCAGGAGAATCGCTTGAACCTGGAAGATGGATTTGCAGTGAGCCAATCAGGTCACTGCACTCCAGCCTGGGCAACAGAGTAAGACTCCGTCTCAAAAAAAAAAAAAAAAAAAAAAGCACACCACTGTCTGTGTCCATGACCACGACAATGTCCGAGGCCTGCACTGCTCAATGTGGCAGCCACTGGCCACGTGACTTTTCCTTTTGTCATAAAACGTACCACTGTCATTATTTTACACTGTGCAGTTCAGTGGTGTCAAGCACATTCACATGGTCGTACAACCAATCTCCAGAACGTTTTCGTCCTGCAAAACTCAAACTGTCCCCATTAAACAACTCCCAGCCCCAGCCCCCGGCAACCTCCATTCGGCTGTTTCTTTTAATCTGACTACTCTGGGGACCTTGTATAAGTGGAATCCTACAGTACAATCCTTTTGTGATTGGATTATTTCGCTTAGAGCAATACCCTAAAGGTTCACCCACGCTGTGGCAGGTATCAGAACCTTTTCTATACAGCTGAGTCAAATTCCTTGTATGTTCCACCTTTGATTTCTCCATTCATTTGTCCGTGGGCATTCGGGTTGTTTCTACCTGTTGGCTATTGTGAACAGAGCTGGTATCAATGCGGGTGTGCAAACACCTCTGGCTCTTGAAGACGCTATGCATTCTTCTGAATCTATACCAGAAGTGGAATTATGGGATCGCATGGTAGCTCTAGTATTAGTGGTTATTTTGTTGTTGTTGTTGTTTTTAAGATGGAGTCTCGCTCTGTTGCCCAGGCTGGAGTGTGGTGGCACAATCTCGGCTCACTGCATCCTCAGCCTCCAGGGTTCAAGTGATTCTCCTGCCTCAGCCTCCTAAGCAGCTGGGACTACAGGCACGTGCCACCATGCCTGGCTGGGGTCTTGCCATGTTGGCCAGGCTGGCATCGAACTCCTGAACTCAGGTGATCCACCCGCCTCAGCCTCCCAAAGTGCTGGAATTACAGGTATGAGCCACCGTGCCTGGCCTCTAGTATTCGTTTTTTAAGGAATTGCCACAGTATGCTCACAAGTGACATCTGAGCACCTGACACTGAGCTAGTCCAACCGAGGGACAGAATTTTTATTTATTTAAATTTAAATAGGCACATTTCATAAATGCTAACTATACTGGATGGTACAGAATTCTAGTCCAACCTGCTCTTTACAAATGGAGAAACTGAGGTCCACAGAGTGATTGTCTTCCTGAAATGCCACTGTAAGTGGCCAGGCCAGCACAAGACCTTCACTGAATTTGATAACCCTGAAATCTCACATTTGTGCTGTGATATGCAGTTAACCCCGTGTCCCCCCCACAGACCGTGGGCTCCAGCGAGACAGCAGCTACCTCGGGATCCCCACCACACCTCCAACCCTCGCCACACGAAGGGGACGCTCCATGGACACTTATGGGCTGAATGGTTTTGTATAATCACACTGTGGTTTGCTGCTGCTGACCGAGGACATGCTGGCTGCAGGTGGACGGGCTTGGAACTGAGCGAAGTGGGGCCGTGTGAGTCCCCAAGGGGGCCGGGGATGGCTGCCCTCTCCGTGCTGATCTCATAATGAGCACAACCACCCCCAGCCCATGGGGAGACTGGGGAGATTCACCGGGCCCTCAACACACACAGGGGCCAGCCAGGCAGAGGCAAGGAGTCCATCTGTTCTGCCCGCAGTGGCCCAGCCCCAGCTGCAGATGTGGAGGCCACAGCGCTGCCCGGGGTTTTGTATCCTGGCTGGTGGAAGAGGCGGGGCCTGGGACATTGCCACAGAGTGCAGGGGTGGGCTCTGCTGGCCCAGGCTCACCCACAGCACCTCCATGAGGATGGTCAGACCCATGTCCACAGCTGTCCCAAGATGCTGCTGCAAGGGCTGGCCTCCCCCCAACCCTGCCCCCAGCCCACACTGCACCCACCTCGCCCAGTGACTTCTGCCTGGAGCTTGGACCTCACGCTCACCCCCAGGGCCCTGTCACCTAAGTTTTTATGTACCCAAACTTTATCAAATACTATTAATAGGAGAAG